AAGTCATGAGATGTTTACTTTTTAATAACCAAGAACACTGTTTTGTCAAATTATTTCACCTGAAAGGTAAAAAAACCAAAAGCCTACAAATTTTTTCAAGTTACTTTTGAACCATCCCCAAAGTGTTTTTTTAATCACAGTTTTCAGTGTAAAGGGTAACCGGATGGAAATATCCTTGGAAATGGAATGCTTTGTAAATTTGAGAGGTCATGATTCTGTTTGCCACTAACCAGGATAGCAGGTTATTTAACCTTACTGGCATTACCAGCTTGACAGTGAGTTTCAATAAATACTCATCTGTTTTGTTTGCTGAGTGACCAGCACACCGTGGTCTGTGTAGCTGCAGAAGCCCATTTGGAACTCTTTGGCACAAATAATTGTGGCTTCCTCAGTTGTATGTCAGGACAGAGCATTTTGACCATGTTTGGTAACTATCTTGCCAACAATTTTACAGTAAATCTCCAGTCATTTTTAAGTTGGAAAAAACAATAAAAGCAACATATTTTTCAGTAACTTAACCAGTTGAGATCCATATTCCCTTAGGTGGTTCCAGATGTCTCGGTGGTTGGATACAGAAGTTGGCAGCTCTTTGATCTGATTTTCTTAGACTGACAGCCCTTACTTCTGTTGGAGTAGTTGGCAGTTGCAGTACTGACTTATTTGGAGTAAGCAAGTAGAGAGAGAAACAGGATGAGTGTGAGGATTAGTTTAGACCCTGAAGAACACACACAAAATCCTTGAAGGTCGAAAAGTCATGGTATTTGACCAATTAACAGCGTTATAAATTAAACACTTTACTATTAAGTCTACAGCAACTCTTTTCATTGAAAGCACTGAATAGCAGGCATTTAATGTAACTGAAACTATCTTTCTGCAAGATCTGGGAACAGATATCTGGAGTGTTTAAAGTGGTTTTGTTTTTTTGTGAAAAAACTGGCAGTGACCTTTTTATTATATATTTGCTTTACTCACACTTGGAAACAGTAGGATCAAAATCAATCTGTATCAGTGACTGCACACAAATTTGATACACACACAGTCTTTACCCAGAAGAAGTTGTTGTGTAAATATACAAGGCAAACTGAAGCTGAGAAAAAGGGAGAATTGGTATTTCTATTTTAGAAAAGAAACACAAGTGGGAAAATAATCAGCACTTTACTTAGACTATTAGGGCTCAGTAATGTCACTGGAACTTGGCAGGTGAGTTGCTTGTGATGAGTGTTAAGGGTTAATTGTCTTGTTCGGTACACGTGTCAGAGTCACCCTGGACACCTGGACAGCCTGGTGTGTAACTGGGATCTGTTAAGTACTTCAGTGCTTCTCTGAACAGTGAAATCATCCAGCTGTCCAACATGCCAGGTGTCCATAAGGCAGTGCACATCATGGAGTTGTTCAGGGCCTCAGTTCCATGAAAAACCAGTAAGGAATTGCTGTGAGGAAGAGGGTAGCTGATCAGCTTCAGTAGGAAATGTCCAGCTTCTGTGACTTTACAATAGAACACTCACAGAAAGGTGAAGAGGAAGTCAAGGTCTGTGGTTTCAGAAAGGCAAAAGAAACCTCTGACCATGTGATTTCTTTCCCCAGAGGTGTGTTCAAATTTGAGGTTTAAATTGGAGGAAATTAAAGGAAGAATGTAATGAAGGATGTAGTTTTGTACTTGAGAGCTTTTTTGAGAAATTTTTGCATTTGATGTTTTTAATCAACTTTACAAGGAACACTAAACTGAACTAAGTTAAAAGATACGTGGAACAAATTTTTAATTTGATTAACCAAGATAACTGTGTGATTAACTGTTGTTCCTTTTTCTCATACTCACCATTGATCTCCCTTAGGTACTTTCTGTGTTGCATAGTACACTCTCTACTATAGCAAAATATGTTGACTGATTCAAAAGTGCCTTAATATGTGGGGCACATTATTTTGAACTTGCTGCTAATGCAATAGGAATACTAATATTCTCTGTGATCTGTCATTTGAGCTACTCATTTATTGCTCCACATATAAGTTATAAGCTGACATGTGAATGCTGAAAAAGTATTCAGAGCTTTTTCGGCACTAAATAAGTAAAATATCAACACTAAATCACAAATATTTGCAAACGTTTCAAGGAATTGCTACGCCAAAAAAACTGAAGTTCGGCTTACAAGATCCAGTGCTGATAAACAGCTGATTCTTCAAAGCTGGTACATGCATAATGAACATTTGCAATCTGCATTGCAGGCTTTTGAGGAGGTGATTGGAACCTGACAGTGATAGTCACATACTGCAATTTGCATTTCAATATATGAATAATTGATTTTAAATATCTGTAAAAAATCTTCTCTCCTAAAAATTTGAACAGTGCCTTTTCTGGTGGTGGGCAACAGCAGCATTTTAACTAGGTTAGTCTCACTAGCTCTGAGACCTGTTAATTTCTGTGGAGTTCCATGATGGTGGATTTGTCTTCCTACCTTCTTTAGTAGCCATGTCTTGCTATATCCAAATGACAAGCTACTTAAGTAAATTCTTCTGGTCAATTAAAAACATGGACAAACTAATTTTAAATTGTTTATGTTCAGCAAATGAAGTAATATGCTAACATCTACACAGTAAAATGACACAGTTTTCTTAGTAGAAGAGAAAATCTTGAACTAGCACCTTTGAAAATTACAGACATTCTGAAAAGATTTAAACTGAAAATTGTGCTGCTTCTTAGCACATCTTGGACATCTCCTTGAAAGTCTTGCAAGACCATTGAGCAGAGTGGCCATATGAGGAACAACAATGTGAAAAAACCCTGTAAACCTGCAAACTGCAGACTTGTTCATTTTCCACTGAACCATCTGGTGCCCTCCAATGGATCTCTCATTGACACACTGTATTTCCACCTGAGAAGGAGCAATGAATAGCACTATGACCAGTTTATATCTGTTGTTCAAAACAGTGTAATTTTTACTACTAATTCAGTTTCCCATAGTTGTAATTTTAAATGTATGTTTATATGTCTGTAGAAGCTTTAAAGAGAGCTTGGAGTCCTGTTTGTTTTGTAATCCCACCTAAGGCAATACTGCTTCTAATGACTCTGAGACTCATTTATTGCCTAGGACTCATAGTGTCTCACTATTCCAGACTGCTCAAAGGAAGAAAGGAGATCTTTAAAAATGGCAGAAAGGTGTCCTGCTCTCCAGTCTGATATGCTGTGGGAGCTTCCATTTTGTAGATTTGAATTTTATGTTTATTTTTTTATCTCAGTGTGATGGTTTTAACCCAGCCAGCAGATAAGCACGACACTTCCCCACACAGTGAAGAAACTTATGTGTTGAGATAAACAGTTTAATAAACAAACAGGGAGGAGAAAACCCCCCACAAACTAGTGATGTGAAGGCCGTCACTAACCACCTTCCACAAGTAGACTAGTAGGCCTCGCTAGAGTCCAAGCAATGTCTTCCTCAAAATCCCTTTAATGCTGATCATGATGTTGTAGAGCATAGAATATCCCTTTGTTCAGTCTGGGACAGCTGCCTAGGTTGTGTCCCTGCTCAAATTCTTGCTCACCTCCAGGGGCAAGCAAAAGAGAAACCCCGAACACTGTGCAAGTACTGCTCAGCAGTACAGCAATCCCAGGCAGACCCAGTGCATTCAGCTTCAAATAACGTTCAAATTCATACATATTCAAATAACATTCACAGCCAGTCATCAGCAATGGAGTTGTAGGTGATGGAATGAAGCATGTGTTCTGCAAGTCAAGGCATTTTTGGGACTTGCCCCACATCTGTTCTTCCTGGTATTCTTGTCAAGCGGATAATGTAGTATTGATATTTTCACTATTAAGCTGGTTGTTTTCTAGTAGAAAACAAAGAGAAAGAAAACTTCTGTGTCCCTTGTTAGTAATTTCATTCTATTGAACAAGAGTGTTTAAAGGAAAAAGTCATGAGCTGTGGCTCATAGTCTAAAATCACCGATGCCAGCAGTTTCCAAACCATTGCTCTGGTTGTTGTTTATTTAAATATGTATGTTATTCATCTGCATGTGGAAAAAAGCATTGTAGGGCAAGATAGCAAGCTAAGTAATTACAATTATTATCTCCAGTGCCTTTTTGTATTTTGTTGCTATAATTAAATCACTAGAGCATATTACTGGGAATATATTGCTAATAGACCAGCAGTGTATGTTGCATCCTTTATTATTTAAAGGATATATAGATATACATAGTTTTCGGAAATCATACCGGACACATTCATGGGAGATCACACCACTCTCACCTCTGTCAGACTTTAACAGAGATGGAACATAGTCATGAAGCTGTAAGAGGGAAGTGCACAGAGAGACAGGAGTCTGTATGCAGGTACAGTGCAACAGATGAAGATATGGTAGAGTTAGTAAAGTTTCACATTTGCTGTAACTAAGTATATCTACTCTGCAAAGGTCATAGTTTGTGTTTCTTAAGTGCCTGAGTTGTGGCATTCACAGGTGATAAAATCTTTCAGATAGGTAATTCAGTCAAATGGATCTTGGCATTCTCTGATATTAGCTCTTTTCTTGTTTGGCGGTTGCTTCGAGAAGTGGTTTCTCTTGAATCCGTGCTTAGTTGGTTGTTGCTTGAGTCAGGATGTGTGTCTAAGATTTGCTGCAAAGCTCCTTTGGCTCTCTACAAGATACTGCATTTTAATGCAATGAACACTGATTTAGGCCCATTTAGTGTCTGAGACAAAAATGTAAGTACAGATAATGCTGACTCATACCTTTGACCTACTGGAACAACTCTCACTGCCTTGAAACTAGCTCTTACCACTATATCTATCTCTGTTTCTGTTGCCGCAAATGTGAATGATACCTGTCTTGTAAAGCATTCAGAGATCTGCTGTTGTGTTATTGTTTTTTATTATTATCTCTGAATTGTCCCCAGTAAATTTTCATTAATTCTTCCACAGAGTTTGGTCCCCACAGAGTGCCAGAGGGAATGTTCTGGAGGATTTTCCTTCTGTTCACATAGTCCTGTCATCAGACAGTCCAACACTCTTGGTGCAATCAAATACCCGTTGCCTTTCCTTAGGAATGGACTGAGGGATCTTGGATCAGAAATGGACAAAGGTATTGTTGATGCATTCAGTTGCTGTTACAGAGCAGTAAGTTCACTGAATTATTATCTGTGTTGTATTCATATAGCAATGATTAAAGTCTTACACTTGGCTGAGACATCAAATCTGACACAGATTAATTTTAAAAGTTTCTGTTGCAAAGATCCACAGATGTTAATTTGTTTACCTATTCCAAATAATAGGAAGCTTTTATTATTCTAGCCTGGGAATAAAACAAAAGGGTTCAGAATAAAACAATAGATCTTCAAATATAGTTACTGAATGTGTTTTTAATTTGTACTATTTAGGCTCAGGTTATCCTCCAAAAAGGGTTTAAGCTGAATTAACCTTCTCTAACAACAGTAACTCAAGCAATTTGAATAATTACATAGATAATTTTCACAATCATCTATTACAAGATGAAAAGGTTCACTCCTCTGTGTATGATTTCTGTATCAGCCATCTGATGCAGAAATGAGCCTCTCTGAGTCACACAGTATCAATCTGAGTTTGCTGCCCTTGAAGGAAATGGGAGTTTTTCAATCAGAGCAGACATCTCTACAAAACTGAGAAAAAATCCACAAACTCTGTGTGTGTTGAAACTGCTGAGTAGAAAAGGTGAGTGTTCAGTGGAAGGTACTGCTGAGCCAAAGGTTCTTCTCTTCGTTGCTACTACTGACCTCTTGTACGGGACCTTCTCCCTGTAAGTGAATTACATCAGTTAGCCAGTTTGAAAATCTGAATGGCAACCTTTGAACTCCAATTCTGTCTCTGTTTAAATACTCCTGCCAGGCAGAAGAGCAGAAATCTATGTTTGTTCTTACTTCCCTTTCCAATTTTATCTCCTAAAATGCCTTTTGTATGGTGTTAATTAGGACATTACAGACTATCCTGCAAACTGTAATGTGCAGAGAGAGTAGAAGTTACTAATTTCGACATAAAATCCCTTCTCTCTTTCTTTTAAAAAAGCCAGCATAGTGGAAAGTAGTAGATTTCATGGCTGACTGTAGTGGATTGAAATTATGATGAGTATTGAATGAGCTGCCAAACTCTGTACATCCCTGAAGATTTGTCTTCGGTAGCCAGTTGGCTGGCAAACTAACCCTGTTATGTTATTATCCTGAAAGGTATATGACTTGTTGCTTCACTAAGCTATGATACTGTAAAAGGTTCAGGGATATCATTGGAATAGGCTTGAATGCTCTATTTAAATGCATGTAAAATGTACATGGATTTGGTTTGGAATTCAAATCCATAGTTTCTGACTAACCTGTTTGTAAAGGGTTGGTCACAGAGAATTTTGAGAGAAATGAAACTGTAGACTTGTTTTGCATTTGCTCTGAAGGTCTTCTCTTTTATTTTTGCCTCCTTACATTGGCAGTGGTTTTGTGTTCTATTTGGATGCTTGCAAAGGCAGCACAGCCCTCTCCATATTTTGTTTTGCAAGCTGTTCTTACTGAAGACTTCTTTTTTTCATTTTCTAAATCATCTGAGTCATTAGGCTTATCTTTATGTGTCAGTGGATGTGCATAGTGATGATGAGGCAGAGTAATCCAGTACTTGTACTTGACATTTGTCGTGTCAGGCACTTCTCAGCATTTCACATGTAAATACAATGAGTTTTGCAAAAGCAGTCTGCATTTGCCTGAGTTTGTACTCTTTTAAACCAATTAAACTTAAAATTCTCCCCACAATATATAGGCCTCTATACTGTATATATATTTCTTCATAAATTTTTTATATTTTAAAATTATACCCAAGAAACTTAGTATTTTTTTTATACAAAAGAGTAAACCTGTGAAAGATTATGAAGGAATAAAATATATCTCTTTGCCATACTCTATAATTTTTTTTTTTGTTAAGTGGTAAGCTATTTTTAAAAGAAAACCCTATTTCCTGAATACTTTTTTGGGGTTTTTTTTGCCATGCTTATCCCACAGAAATCTCACGCTGTGAAAGATACCCTTTAATTGTCTTGCTGTGTGGAAGTTGCTTCTTGGAAATGGATGGTGCAATATATGGTAATATTTAATTTCTTGTGATCTGAGTTGAGATCTTGACTTGGGTAAAAACTAATGGGAAGTTTGTAGAGAAGGGAGAACCATCTCTTCGAAGAGGCTACTAAAGTGATAATGGATAGGTGATAATTTAGCAAAATAGGTGTATTCACTTTTTCTGATTGAAGTAAGCAGAGACTCGCTCCCAGCTGCTTTTCCACTTTTCTATTTGTTTATTTACCATGAATTCAAACTTTACTTCTAGAGCAAACCATATTTGCCAGCAAGGAAACACAGTGATGTTGTTCAAGGTTTACAGGTTGTTCATGGGTTACACAGCTACATTTGCCACCTGTTAAAGACTTTCTGTAAGAAAAAGGCAACTGCTTTGTTCCCTCTCTCAGATTATTGCACTTGTAAAGGAGGATAATAACACACCATTTGTTGATGTGGCAAACTTTGAATAAAAAGGGAAAGTCATTTACAGTAAATTTTTACGCTTTTTCCTAAGGCAGATCTTCCACCACTTGGAAGAAGATATGATAGATGGTGGATGCATCTATTTTAACAGCAGTCTGTGTCCAGAGAGAAGAACTCTACCTGTGAGTTACAAAAATAACTAAAGAGAAAAGGGACACAGTGTGCTTGAAGTTAACTAACTCAGAATCAGAATGTTCTCTGTAAAAACCGGGATTTTAACAAACCAAACCAAAACAAATTTTTTTTTTCCCTACTGGAAAAAATTTGAATACTACATTTTGTAAAAATAGTCTGAAATGTTTCATTTCAAATCCACTAAATAACAGATGAAACAGAATTTCCACGTTGGTGAATTTCCCTGTTAGGTTTATTATCAATCAGGAAATGGCCAGATTGTCAGAACTTCTACTTATGAAGAATTATTATGTAAGAATTAAGCTAAGACCACATCAGAATTGAGAAGAGGCAAGCAATTGACTGAAACACTCGAGACAATTCATGAAGTGGAGAACATTTTCAGGAACCTGATGTCTCAGCATCATCCCTAAGTCAAAAATGAGCGCCAAAATCTGGGGTTTCCTAGGATTCTGTGACTCTAGGATTCCATGGCTGTAGGAGTCAAGGATTCCATGGCTTTATGACCCTAGGACTTGAGGACTGTCTCCAAGGCAATGAGAGGAGGTTGGTGTTTGAGGGAGCTGCCACAATGCAGGTGCACCTACTGCTGAGAGGCACCTGCTGGGAAGTGACCTTCCATCGTCCCCTCAGGTTCAGCCAAGGTCTCTCCAACATGTGTCTGCATGGAGTAGAGGGAGAGTTTGACTTAAACTCTCTCTTTTGAGATTGAAAACATATTGGAATAAGCCAGAGTGTGTAAGGGCTGTAGCAGCAGTTCCTGCACAGCACTTTGTAGCTCCTTTCCTGCAAGCAGAAGGGCCTGCTGTCCTTAAGCAGGCCTGAGCCACCCTGGGGCCAGGCAGTGCAGGCCTTGAGGGCCAACACACAAACTCTCACATCCAAGAGTGCACATCCAGCCCTCTGGGCTTTGGAATGTCTTGCTCCCGTGCTGGGCACCCTGTGCTGCTGCTGCTGCTGGCAGTGTGGTGGCACTGGCTGAGTAGAGGCACCAGCAGGCTGTGAGGCACTGGGAGGTCAGGGCAGAGCCCACTGGCCCAGTTTGGGCTCACAGTTGAGGACGGAAATGGAGAAGGGAAACTGTGCACATGGTCTGGTCAGAGCAGGTCTGTGGGAAGGAGGGAGGGCTGATGCACCCCCTGGCCAATGTGGCCAAGGGAAGGGCTTTGGGAGAGCCAGGAGGCCTTGATGGAACCTTGAGGACCTTAATGGAACCCTTCAAGGACCCAGCTACCAGGCTGGGCTCAGCCCACACCAAGCAGGATTTCATCAGGCTTTGGCTCAAGACTGTTGGAAGTTTTGAAGTGGTGAGAGCGGCTGGAAACATGGGCAGTGCTTTCCTGCTCCCCAGCCCATTTGTGCTCAGCTGGACAACATCTCCCTTGTCTGCCTGCAACCAACTAGTCAGGCCCCTCCTTTCCTCCTCCTGGTTGGGGGACTTTGCTTTGTTTCCCCTGTCATCTAACAAGCTGAACTTCTCCTCAAACAGGGTTGTTCATCTTTTGCTGCTCTCTGTTTCACATCTTCCTCACCTGCATCCTCACCATCTGCTGATCAAGACTCTTTGGGCAGCTGGGTTTTGAACTTGCAGCAACAGGGGTGCACTTAGGAGCACTTATGGTCTCCAGCATTTTTGTCAGGGCTAGAAAGAATGCCAAAGCTTGTCTTGCAGTGGGGAGCTACTTTCCTTTCCCTTCATGAGGGAATCTAATCTGCATCTTGGGTCATTGCACCTTTCTTTGTCTTTCAAGGAAGGATATGCCATGGCTGCTGGAATCCTTCGGATGTACCTCATGCTAATGGCAGTTGTCGGCGTCAATGAGCCTTTTTTCTCTGATGAGAATGGAGTTGTTGACGAGAATGGGGACGAAATCCTCCAGAGAATGAAGGAACGGGAGACGAGCCTTCGGCTGCACCAGTTGCGCTTAGAGCAGGAAATTGCAGACCTGGAAGCTGGACAGAAGGCTCTAGAAATGCGTGAATTGGAACTGGAGAGAAAGATCCAGCAGCATATGTTCAGCGTCCTTTCCTTGGTCATCTTGACACTGATCAGCGTCTGGAGGCAGAATTAGCAGGAAGTAACATCAACACAGTGGAGAAGAAGAGACTGACACAGTGGTCCTGGGGAAAACACGGGAAAGAGTGACCTTCCCTGACAAGGCCTTTTGTGCTATTTAGGGGCATTTACAACCTCTGAGGGAGATTTAAACAGCTGCGGGGAGTGTGAGCAACCAGGAGTGTGGCAAACGGGGTGGGCAACAGGACATGGCACATCAGAAGTTTTTGGTGCTGTAGTTTGGGGGGCATTTCACACAGGCAGGACAAGTGGGAATGGCTCTGAGTCACTGCAGCACAGCCAGTGAGCTAATTTGCTGGTCTTTACACTCACCGACAGAGCTCAGATATGGTGTCTGCGTGGCACAGAGCCAAGTTGTCTAAGGTCACCAAAAACTATGCAGCAACCCAGACAGAGCTCCCAAAAAACCATGCAAAACATGGAAAAAACCATGCATCTGTCCAGGCTTCAGGCTGTAGGGAATGTGTAACCCTCTCAAGGGATTGTAGCAGTGATGGCAGTTGCATCAGATGTTTCCAAGTGGACGACCAGCTCAGCCTGGTTATGAGTTACGAGATGAAGTAGAAAGGCTGAGAAACATTAAAGAATCTGAGTGGGACATAAATTGGTAGGACCATTCTCTGGCCTCCTTAAGACAGGAGCATCCACCAGAAATATTTAAGATCAAGGGGATCCTCTATCCATCCCCCAGCAAGGAGCAGGTACCAGTTTTGAAGTAAGAAGTGAATGGAGGGCAGTCCATACTTGGGCAGGCAAGTGAAATCCTTCTTCACCCACAACACTCCCCCAGGTACCTCTGCAGAATAGGTAGGAGGCTTTGTGTGTGAAAGACTGTAAGCTTTGTGCTTTATTTCCTATGAGAAAGAAAAAAGCAAGATTTTTCTCTCTTTTGGCCCATCTTATCTATGCAGAAGTGAAGGGAGGCCATACCTCCATTTTGAAGGTGTTGAACATAAGAAAGCCAGTCTGTAATATCAACTGAAGGTTTAAACACAAATAAACCAGGTTCAGTAATTACAACCAACAAGAAAAGTCTACAGCATATCTGCATTTCAAATCTCCTTTCAAAACAAAGACTACACCATCCCTTTCTTCATCAGGCTTTGCTCATGATGGCAGTGTGTTTTGTGATAAAACATTTCAGGCAAAATCATTTTCATAAAACAGTCCAGCATTTCTCATCCAAAAATGGGAATTCTGAACCACTTCAGTTTAAAACGTATTTCTCTGGAATTGCTGCAATGGAATAGCCATAGGGTTCAGGGTGATAACCATGGGTACCTGAGGATTGTAACAGAAGCAATAAATGTGAACTATCCATTTAAACTGTGATAAGGAAATGTAGTATGTTCCATTAGTCCTTAAAACAGAAAGTCAATTCCACCTCTGGCTTCAGTGGGCTGTGTGGCACTCATGGTTCTTTAGAGGAGGCTTAGAATATATTTGGCCAAGGGAAAGAATCAAGGATCAAGAATTTGAAGGACTGAATAAGAACAGTCCACATCAGAATTGAGAAGAGACAAGCAATTGACTGAAACACTCAAGACAATTTGTGAAGTGGAGAGCATTCTCAGAAACCTGCTGTCATCTCAAAGTCAAAAATCAGCACCAGACTCTGGTTTCCTAGGATTCCAGGATTCCATGACTCTAGGCTGTAGGAGTCGAGGATTCCATGGCTTTATGACCCTAGGACTCGAGGACTGTCTCCAAGGCAATGAGAGGAGGTTGGTGCTCGAGGGAGCTGCTGCAGTGCGGGTGTATCCACCGCTGAGAGGCACCTGCTGGGAAGTGACCTTCCATCGTCCCCTCAGGTTCAGCCAAGGTCTCTCCAACATGTGTCTGCATGGAGTAGAGGGAGAGTTTGACTTACACACTCTGGCTTGTTCCAATATATTTTCAGTCTCAAAAGAGAGAGTTTAGGTTCCTGCACAGCACTTTGTAGCTCCGTTCCTGTGAGCAGAAGGGCCTGCTGTCCCTAAGTAGGCTTGAACCTCCCTGGGACCAGGCAGTGCAGGTCCTGAGGGCCAACATACGAACCCTCACATCTGAGAGCACACATCCAGCCCTTTGGGCTTTGGAATGTCTTGCTCCCATGCTGGGCACCCTGTGCTGCTGCTGCTGCTGGCAGTGTGGTGGCACTGGCCAAGTAGAGGCACCAGTAGCCCTGCAGGCTGTGAGGCACTGGGAGGTCAGGGCAGAGCCCATGTGCCATAATGAAATAAGACAGACTAATCCGATGTAATCAACTTTTCTGGTTTGTGACAGGAACAACTTTGCAGACACCGAAGTCAGTGCAAAGGAGGGGGGAGGTGCTCTGTGCTCAGGGCAGGGATTCTCCTACAGCCCACGGTGCAGACCATGGTGAGGCAGCTGTCCCCCTGCAGGTCATACAGGAGACCCTAGTTGAGTTTGTTTTGCCTGTGATGATAATTGGTGAGGAATCCCTGTCCTTATCTCAACTTATAAGGCTTTCATTATATTTTCTCTCCCCTGTCCAGTTGCAGAAGGGTGGGATAGAGTATCTTTGGTGGGTGCCTTGCATCCAGCCAGGGTCAACCTACCATAGAAAACTACTCGACCCTAAAGATCCATTTCATGTTCATGCCCATGTATTTCTTTATCCATAACTTAAGAAGTGAATTAACATATAGATTAAGGTTTAGATCAATAAGGATTCATCATTCTCTGGCATTTAAAGGTTTTGAGGCAGAAGTGCTACTGAACATAAAATGATAGCTTTTCTTGAAACATCTTAGGTGACATGACCTAGGGGAGTTACAATCCAGTGTCTCAGTATTTCACACCACCAGTTGTTTAGTAATGTTTTGGTCCTTGTGCTGCTTAAGGAGCCAACAACCATTACATTGTCTGAAACATTTTTAACTTGCATTCTAAATGCTGGTATTGTATGAAGAGAATACAGCTGGGCTTTTCAGGGCTTTACTTGTAGGTTTAGGAAAGGATAACCAGCTATCACTGTAGCTCTGCAGCCCCAAATGCAACTCCCTAAACATGCAATTCACAGTACCTGTTCTCATTTACCCTGGTGAAAAATGTAAATATGAATTCCCTTCTACTGTTTTCTCTGTCAATGTTCCTACACAGAAGGCAAACTCGGCAGCTGTATGATCCAGATACCAAGTTCTGGAATATTTTCCAGTTGTAGAATCTGCATGTTGGTCACTCATTTAAACAACAACATTTTCTATTACCTAAATTTTAATTGAGCTGTTCTGTTCAGGTTTATAATTATGATCATCCAGTGTTTTTCTTTAGCAGTAGGTGCAGCCATAAATTATTATACTAAGTGTAGAATTTCATAATGGCTCAAAGAACTTCTCAGTAAACAGGTTGTATTATAGACAGATGCTATGCAAGAAGTTCTGCAGGATACTCTTTTAGTTTCAGTCAAAATGCATAAAGGAATATGATGTTGCTATGCTACCTACTTTAAATGGCACCTTGAACAGCTTCTGACATCACTAATGAAGGTTTTGCTGTGCAATACACTGGAACTGAGTCGAGTCATCGGATGATCTGCAGAACTCATAAACCAGATCTGATGGCACTCTTGAATTCAAACTATGCATGGATAATGAACTGAGTCGTGTTTCTTGTTTAAATCTATACCTTTAAATCTATATGGAGCACCTTTCTTGCTGCCTACTTTCATGCCAGGAAGGATTTCCCCCTCAGTACATATGTGAACAAGTAATGGGAAGGTCAGCGTTTTCACGAATTATTCGCTGTGGCAAGCAAAGTGATTTAAAGCTGTGTAATGTTTTTACTGACAGGTTTCTTGCATTATTAAGGAGAAAAGAAAAGGGAGGAAAAAGAGTGCCTGAATAAGTATAAATTGATGCCTAGCAGATACATGCTAGTGGCAGTGCTGATGTTAAAAGGCAGTAAGCATGTTACATTTCATGTAGATAAAGCAGGTTATTACATAGTGAAATGTTTATGCATTTAGTTAATATACTTAATTGAAGAGATAGTGTTTAATTTTAGATCAAGTGCCCATCTTTTTTCTAAAAATTTTCATAGTTACCTAATTGTTGCTGGTGGGGAGTGGGAGATCAAGCTGTTCATAAAATCAGGGCAATTCTCATTCAGCTCAAATTACTATCTGTGTTTAAACAAACAAAACACGGGACCATGTCATTAAGGTCATAACTGTCTTGTACCTCTACAGCATTACTGAGATGCTTTGTGTTTCCTTTAATGTAAAAGATCCCTTATTTGTTAGTAATTCTGTTGATGTAACAGTTCTTGTGGTTCAGGTGAATCCCCTGAGATGACACAGGAAAGCCCAGATTATGAGAAGCAGACTAAAACTTGCTGAGAAGTAGGTCAGGTAAGAGCAAGGTGGAATTGGTGCAAAGTAAAAGGAAATTGGAGAACAATGTCTGTATCAAAATAAAGCAGGGTTTCATATCAAAGGCCTACTCGACATGCTTAGACCTAGAACTTAATTTAGATTTAAATATAGTAATAAAAGAAAATGTTGGTTGTGGATACATTGTGGTCAGTACTTTGTCTTTTTTCAGTACTTTTTTAGTTAAAATACTTCTTTATTCTTAGAATAAAATTGAGAGATGTTCTAGGTCTGGTCTATAATTTAAAATGGGCAGGGAAAGCAGACATTATTCATGTGGACTTCATTAATTAATGACAACAGTAGTATCTGATCTGTAACAAAGAGTGAAATAAATCAGTGCATTGGGTCTGTAGCTCTAGAACTGAGCATTCAAAAATTAAAGTGTAGGTGTCTGTGAGAACTGTTAGCTTGATAATTGATAGTGGCGGACAGAGAAATGTTGATAGAATCCCTTCTGCCAAGAAACCTTGACATTTTCTGAACTTAAAACAGGTGAGAGTAAGGATGAATGTGTGTGACTCAGGTCCACCTTTGACAGAAAATCTCTAAGCTTGATAATGAACTGAAAACTGTTTTAAGAATGCCGAGATAGGACAAAATTGTTGCACTAGTTCTGAGTGCAGAAAATGCCAAAGCTAACCACATTAAAAAATATTGTGTGGGCTGTTACATATCAGGACTCAATGGCTATTAAACCTGTAAATTCATTACCTTTATCCCTGCAGCTTAGGTCCAGACATTTTAGAAAGCAGCTCTGTGCAGTGACAGAAATACTCAAAGTGGACTTAGCTGAGAGCAGTTCTGTTCTGCTCCTTCTGTAACTAGTGAGAGAGATTAATAGACAAATTAGAGGTGAAAAACACCTGCTAGGTCATACATTCAGCTCTCTCAAGACAAAAAATACAAGAAAATTTATTGCTGATGTAAAACTGTTTTGACTTTGTAGCAGAACTTGTCATCGCAACAAGATCTGCCAGTCGGATACTCGATGCAAAGCAGCTGTAAACAGTTAACATTGTTTCTGGGGCTCCCATTTGCAACAGGTGACTGCAATTTAAAACACATACTAGTAGGAGGACAGCATGGTAGAGCATCATATGTGAGTTTGGTGGCAGAATGGAGACTCTGTAAGAACAGTTTCAACATGCTTTTTTACGTTGTCCTGTTTTTCCAAGTGGTGTCTTCCAGGTGGAGAGCTTTATCACACAGTATGGTTACGTGGCACCTGAGCCATAATAAAGCCATTGATCCTTATTCCTTTGGAAATATATACAGATGATACATTTCAGGCTGGGTGGCTTGCAAAGAGTAACTTGATTTCAATTTGCTGCCTGCAATTTACTGACTATTGCTAATTTGTTACTAGATTTATGTATGTCAGCGCACAGCTAGCTCTTGAAGGATACCAGTCGTCAATACTATTTGGAAATACTGTTCTTTCCTTAATAAAATGCAAGCAGAGAAAAATAAATCAACTTGTTTGTCTGAAAATAGTACTACTAAATTGGTCCTCATGAGACTCCACCTGGACTACTGTGTCCAGGTCTAGGGCAGTCAGCACAAGCAAGACAGAAACGTGGAGTGTGTCCAGAGGAGGGTTATGAAGATGCTCAGAGGACTGGAACACCTCTCTTATGGAGCCTGTTTGAAAGAGCTGAAGTTATTCAGCCTGGAAAAGAGAAGGCAC